CTAAAAAGGATAATCGATAAATTGTTTAAAAAAATCAATTGTTTGTGAAGAGATCTTGTTATGCATCGTATAAGTTGGAAATATGGCTGAGTGAATATATTAACATTCAGCTACTCGAGGGCTTTTGGCGATTGACCTCGTAATTTTGAACCATGGTCAAGGGACGAGGATGGCACCTTAGCTGTAACCCCCTTTCCTAACTTCCACACCACACCAACGGGAAGAATGTTTGAACTTCGATAGATTTTACGTGCATCTTCCCCTATGCGCCGGGTCTTCAGCAGTACTAGGCTCGAACTCATAACACGCTGGCTCCGAGTCCGTTACCTTGACCACTAGGCTACTGCGAAAAATGGCGACCAGCACGTACCGAAATTCGATACCAGTAGCATCGGGGCCTATCCAGAGTACGGTTTATCATTTTGCAATATAATGCTACTTACAATAGTTAAAATCCACCAACTGTCAGGGTTAGAGCATAACATAGACAAATGTATTGAGTCCGGTTTTTGGAAAGGTCTTGTCAAATTGCTATTTTGAAAAGATTTGTAAATAAAATGTTTAATTTTCTTGTAGATAACTGTGCAGAATATGCAAAAATATATAGCTTTTTATATGGTTAGAAGGCTGAACATTATTGACCGAGAGAGATTTAAAAACTAATTGAAAGCTGAAATTACGTGTTTAAATACTTCTTGATTACTAGCTGGCATAAAAAAGATATCGTGCACAATAAGAAACAAATAAATAAATAATTTGTATTTCAAAAAGTTATTTTTGACAGGTATTATTAATACAGAAAATTTACATGTCATTATTGCTTCTCTGCTGTCTTCAAATTGCCAGATACTTTTCATGCTGTATAGTTGTGGGCCAATACCCTTTCTTAAGTCTCTTATGAAAATATTCTCTCAGAACATCAGGATCTTTCTTTTCATGTTACCACTTTCCAAATTTAGTCAGCACTAGTCCAATATCTAGCTGTAATTTGACATTAATGTAACTCATTGTTTGAAAATTTTGGAAAACATTTTCTTAAAATCAAGTAAAACAATAGCACAAATTAAGCTGTTTTGTTTGTTTCAGCTTTTTTTCAGCGTAAGTGTAATTATGTAGTAAGAAATATTTCCTACACTTATTTTTCTAAAATAATACTCAATATTCATTATAATAGATATAAAGTGTTCACGTGTGTTTATACTTTTTTATATAGATTTTATACTGGGAACACACGCAGCTTTTTATGTAGACGCTGAAATTGTTGATTTTTAACTTACTACGCATGCGTCTAAGAAATCAACGAATCAAAAGTGATTTTGTTTCGTCCGTGTACAAATCGGTGCGAAGAGACGAAGTATCAACAAAGTCTACTCTCTACTCAAGATAAGTATATTCTCGTATCTCGTGCTACTGGTATATTGCCTACGTAGTTCGTGGTATATTTACTATACAAAATAATCTGTTAATTGGTCTGAAATTTTTGAAATATTGTGATAAAAATTAAGCGCAAAATTTTGTAAGCGTCCTGTAACTTTTACTTTAATATTCATTTGGCTTACTTACTAATTTCATACGAACCTCAGGAAGCACGTTTCGCCATATGGCTGTTTCGATAAGGAGTCTATAAAATTTCATTATAAGCTCAGTTGTTTTGAAGGTAAGTTATATTTTATATTACAAGTTACTTTATTTGTTCTTTCTGATTTGAGATAATAGTTTAGCATGTGTTAATATATTTTTATTGATGAATCTTAAAATTTGCTCGATTAGACCTTGTAGAGCACGTTGTTTCTTTTTTGCGCTTAAGAATAACAATGTTTCTCTTGGCATTTTTTCTTGTGTCTGTTTAAATGCCAGCTATTTTACTATACTCATATGGAAGATACTGTCAACTCTTAATTGCAACAACATGTTTTTAATTCATATCATGTTTGTGTATATGGTCCTAACTTATGGTTCGCCGGGAGTATTGGTATAAGTGGCGCTGTTATTGCGTTATTTATGTACGGATTCCGAGACAGTTGTACTTTTGAAAAAATATTTTCAAAAATTATTTATTTTTGACATTAATTTTTTTATTCGATTTTTTTTATTAATGAATTGTTGGCTATCCTTCGATATAAGGACAATTTTTTTTTTTGAAAGCCTTACTTACTCTCGTACTTCAAATGGAAAACGTGTTTATGCTTTTGTTCTAAGGAAAGTAATTTTTGTCACATTTTACAAAGTATTTGTATATTTAAGAAAAAAAAAGTTGAAAAAAACTGATTGTTAGCCTGTTTCCCTAAAGGTTTCAGTAATCATATTTTTAGTTTTAAGCCAGTGACACGCAATATAATGCAATAAAAACATCTAAGCTTTTTGAATTAAATGTAACACTGAGTTAATTATAGTATTTCAAGGTTAATTAAATCTGTTATATTTATTTCCAATATTTTTAAAAATATTTGGTTTTGTACACATTTTATAATTTGCATAATTTCTAACAATTTTTGAGTAACTTTGTGACTGTTTGCCTAATTGTAAATTAGTTTAAAGGTAGGAGTTTCTTTTGTGTCCCTCCTGTACTTTCGGAATGTATAAATGAGTATTTGAGATCATCCATAAACCCTTGAGGTGCAGTTTTAAAGATACTGTGTAATGAGCTAAGCAGATTTTGTGAGAATGTTGACCAAACAAATCTTAATTTTTAAAAATTTATGTAAACAAAAAAGCACTTAATCTGAAGGAGTTGACTGTCTTTTCTTAATCATCTTATTTATACTGATATAAATCATGAAGTCAGAACAGTTTTTAGAAATTTAAGTTATTTATGTGATTGCATTCAAAAATTACAGAATTGAAAATAATTGAAAATTCTATCTTTCTTCATTAACATGCTAATTTGCTATTATATACACCACTCGTACATATTTTAACTCATTCTTACAAAATATGCATTCATAATCTATCAATTTTCATACCAATATTCTATTTTTAATGTTTTTGTAAATTCCTAGAAAAATTAATCTTTCAACATTAGATGAATAGAGGATCTCTTTTACCATTTTCGGAAAATACAACTATTATACATAAATATATTTTTAATATATAATGACTTTGTATATAATGACTAGGGTTTTTCTCTTGATGTTTATTTATTAACTGTCTTTTTATAACAGTTCTGTTATATCTGTACTTGTAAACTTCAATGTAAAAATAAGCAAATGCTAATAAATGTAATATAATTTTTTGAGATATTTATAATTTATAAAAACATTTTGAAAGTTTTATTCATGTTTCAAAAAAAGTTTGTGTAGAAAATTTATATTCAAAATTTAATGTGTATTTAGTTTTAATATTCATTGCTTTTTCTAATTAAATGTTTGTAAAAAAAAAAAAATTGTTGATTGTATTGATGTGTCATTCAGAACATTACATTCAAAATTATATAAATCATTGGATTACGTAATTTAGTTTATATATTTTAAAATATCACACCTTTTTTTTAATGTATATATACATATATTTATTCTATTTATGATATAGTAATAATTTATATGTATTTTTTAATTATAAATATCTTATTTTAAAACATAAACATTTAAACTCAAGTTTAAAATTCTGTAGTATTAACCCCTTAAATGCCAAAGAAAAGTTACACAATGTATTTCCCAGTGCCGTAGTTGTTCACACTAGTGCATGTAGTTGTGATGCATTGAGGGGGGAAGCATAAATAAGCAAATCCTTATGTGAATCCTTCTGTGTGGTGAGGTAAGGAAAAAGTCTACAATATTTATTATAACTTAATAAAATAAATATATGTACACTTACTTACCTACGTAAATAAAATGAAGAGCTCACTTTTTTGAAACTGCATTTAAAGCAAAGCGCAAAATACAAACAAGAATAATAGCCACAAATATAATAACATCTAATGATGCATTTATTATCTAACAATTCAAGATATATTAAAAATAAAACATTTTCATCTAAAGTTAGTTCTCATAATTGTAGTCAGTAGAAGACTTAGTCTGCGTACTGTCAGCCAATCTTGAATATTTCCGTATACAATTACTAATGGCTAACCTTCAGGTGGTCACTCACTGTCTTGGCAGTCCACCAGTCATTGGCGATTGACGTAATGCCCAACCTGGCTTAAGAGGATGTGTCAAGTTTTTGGCAATTATTGGTTATAGCGACCTTGGGTTAGTGACTGCTTTTTCTGCACTGTTGCCAAGATGAACATAGCCAATATTATCCAAACAATAAGTACCTATATTCTTAATTTATGAGTTCATCAAATTGTATTTAGATTGTAATTGGGTATAACAAGTTTTGCTAAATGGTAATTAATCATAAATTGATGTATTTTCATAATAGAATTATAATTTGCAAAGAATGTCTTATCCTTTAATTTTTTGAAAGCTTTTTATTTCAAATGAATATTCTACAAATTTTGGAATAATTTAGTGCATGTTAAGTGTAATATGCACGTAAGTGTAACATGTTTTAAGAAGAAAAAAAGTGCACTAAGTTATCAAATCTTTTTTTATTTGAAATGATTTCAATTACTTTATGAACATTGCTATAAACAATTACATAATTTTATTCAAATTTCAGAATTTTTTGTGCTTAAGTCAGTGGAATTCATTTTTTAGTTTCTGTAACAGTTTTATTTTTATTTGGTTATCAGATATTTTCGTAGGTAGTTATGATTTTTTTAAAACTTTAAGATTAGCATGTAAAAGAGCATGGTAAAAAATATAACTTAGTAATTTGTTTAAAAAAAACAAGTAATATAAAAAAATTCAATTCCTATTTAGGTCAACAAAGAAATTTTAGTTACTTTTTGTTAAATAATATAAATATGTAAAAACATATGACAGAATCACAATATTAAGTGGTGAAATAGAAAGTGATTTTCCTTGCAATTTTCCTTTCTATATATGGTGTTGGACTATTATTTTTGTTTGTTGCCATTTATATTCATTCATAAATCGCATTCTCAGAAATTAGGCCATCCCAGGTATGGTTCAAATTCACGACCTTTGGATTAGAAGTCCAACACGCTATTCACTGCGCTACAGGGACATGAGTGATTTTTCTTTCTATATATGGTGTTGAACTATTGTTTTTTACTATTTATTCATTAAATAGAATTAATGAATTATATTTGAAAAAATTGTTTTAAACTGTCATCCACTACAAGTTTTAAAATGTGTTTGAACTTGAATGGATGAATAGAAAGTATTTTATTAATGATCAAAAATTTGAGTAAGATATATATATATATAAGGGCAATTGTGCACCAATAGTAGGAATTGAATTAAATATATTTACCTCTTAAAGTTTTTTTTTTTATCCAGAAAGAATTTCAGTTCCAATTGCTTAAGTGTGTAATTAAACACTTCTTTCTTAAATAGTTTTATTTCATTGATATAAAGAAAAATTACTGCAATGTTTTAACTTTCAAAATTACATCAAATATACAAATTGAGCAGTTTGAAGTGTACTGGAAACCAAATGTTATTTTAATGATATCATTTTAAACACACGAGAAAGTAACCTAACAAATTTCTTTAAAAAAGTTCCTCTGTGGAATTTAAAAGCAAGCAATTTTCAAAATAAAGATTGGATACTTTTATTGTGTTCTCTTCTTTTTATTTATTTATTATTCTTTTTCTTCATTGCAGAATTCTAGTAAATCTTATTTTCGTTACTTAAAAAAAGATTATACTTTTTTATACTTTACAGTGTAATATTTCTTGAGTTTTTTTTTGAAAAAAAAATTCTTTATTAAAAGGAACTATATTTTGGATGCAAACAACATTTAATGTGAATGCTCTCAACTTTGGACAGTTTGTTCTAAACTGACCCATTCAAGATAATTCCATTTATTATTGAATTTTTTGTTTTAGAATTTTGTTTGTAATTTCAAGACTTTTTTAATTCATTTTATAGGAGTAAAATGTTATGTAATTAATTTTACATTTAATATAAATAGTATAAAAAATCCTTAAATTTTATAAAACAATAGACATTTAATATATATATACACTGGTTTCCAAAAGTTAAGCATAATTGATAATTATGTGAATAAAGAAGGAACTGTAAATCAGAATGATGGGAAACGTGATGTACGAGTGTAAAATGGTTATAAAATAAGGAAGCAAAACAAAAGAATTATAATTAATTTTACTATCCAAAGTAGCAGTTTGAAAGAAAACATTAAATAAAATACTGATGCTGCAGTTTAATAAGGCATGTGGTCACCTCTGACAGCCAGGCACGCTGCACAGCGATTTACCATACTTGATATGAGATGAATGAGTTGTGGGCTCAAATGGTTCCAAGCTTCAAGGAGAGCTCTCTTCAGTTCTGTAATGGAGCTTGGTAGGTGGGAAAGGGCTGTAATTTGTCTCCCGATGATATCCCATACATGCTCGATAGGATTTAAATCGGGGGAGTTCGCAGCCCACGACATGCGCTGGATGTTTTCCATTTCAAGGAAGTCATCAATCAGCACCACTCGGTGACATGGTGCATTATCATCCTTGAATATGAAGTCAGGACCGACAGCACCTCAAAACAAGCGAACATAAGGCTCAAGAACTTCATTTCTGTATCTTTGAGAAGTCACAGACCCCGTGTTAAAGAAATGGAGGTCTGTGTGGCCATCCATCATGATACCTGCCCATACTATTACTCCTCTTGATGGAAAATGTCTTTCTGTTATGTTTCTTGGTTCGAAACATGTTTCACATTCTCTCCATATCGTTGCCCGCCGAGAATCACTACTCAGACTAAACCGGGACTCGTCACTGAACATCACATTGGCCCACTCTCCTACACTCCAATGTTGATGTTTCAAACTCCAGTTCAAATGAGCGTGTTTATGTGCAGACGTGAGGGGAATGTAAACTGCTGGTCTTTTGGCATACAGGCCAGCATGATTGAGTCTCCTATAAATAGTTTGTCTCGAAATTCGTATTCCTGTGGCGACTGAGCGCCGAACCCAGTGCTCTGGCAGTGCTGCCCCTCTGACGTCGTGCACTTATTACCAGATATTGGTCTTGGCGAGGGGTTGTGACTCTTGGTCGACCGGATACTGGTTGTCGGATAACATCTCCCGGCTCTTTGAAACCTCTGCCACAGTCTTGAGATCACAGACTGGTCCACATTCAAAATTTCGAGACACTTCGGTTTGTGATCGTGAGGATTGCAACATTCCAGCGATTCTTCCTTTCTTAAACATGTCCAATTGGCGTCTTTGTGACATCATTCACCTTGTTTGATGGTTAACAATGTTCCTTTGCACAGCAGTTGCACGAAACTTGTCTGAACTGCCTATGCTGCGTGAATCGGTTTCTCCGCGTTCCGACATGGCGCCGGTGTTTCGCGCAGGACGTAGTCAACTGAAAAGTTTTGCATGAACCCAATGTTTCTTCTTCACCCAATTAATATCTGCAAGAAATTTGGAATAATTTTACGAATATTTACTCCATGTTTTTCACATTTTACGATTTATGCTTAAATTTTGGATACCAGTGTGTATATATATAACCAAAATTTTTCTACAAGAGAGAGATGAATTAACATGATTAACTGAAAAGAATTGTAATTGCAAGATAACCAGAGAACAGAATTTAAAAGGAGATATGAAATATTGAAATAACAGAGTTAAAATAAAAATATAAAATAATGGATGCTACAGTATTATCAATATATATATATATATATAATGATAAGCAAAATTTGTATTCATAATGTATTTTTATTTCTTTTTCAATATTTTAATACTTTTGTTTATAAAGGAGCAAAGATAAAGATTTTTTGTTTATATAAAATTATTCAGAGAGGGCTAAAATATGTAGTATCAATTTGCAGATCTAAATTGGTGTATTGTTGCCCTAATAAAAGATTCCTACAGTGAGTACCACCTTTGTGTGGAGGCTTGGTAATTGTCAAATAGGTAGTAGCAGCCATGTATACAATTTGATGGTATTGGATATAAAGACAAGTTCTTGGTTATACAGCAAAAATGTCATATTTTTAATCAACTTGGTATGAGATATAGAATTTTTAATGGAAAAAAAATACATATGGGGAAATAACACTTATGATTATTGGGAAATTTCTAGACGAAACTGCTTTAAAGTGATGCATCATGTCACTGCAATTACCTTGGATAAATTGAATAAAAGTAACTTGTTTTTTATTTAATAATTAAAATCAGTGATTGGTTTTTTGGCTTTTACTGTTTACTTAGGGGAGGGGTCGGCAACCTACTTCATGCGTGCCACATGTGGCACACAGTACAATTCTCAATGACATGACAAATTTGTCAATATTTGAGTGAATGCAAGTTGATAAATTTGTAATGGACTTTATTTGACAAACACCTTCAGAATTATGGACATTTACAGAATTGCGAAAAAACCCGAAAGATAACTTCAAAGATAAATAAATATACAGCTATTTTGTAAATTATTGAATGTCATTGCTGGTGAAATTTAATTGTTTGTAGAGAGAAAATTGAATGCATTCTGCTTCCTCTTTTCATTCTACATATCTAAGTAAGAAATCTTTCCTCAAATGAAAAATATTTAGAGTCCGCAAAGTCTGAATAGAGTCCACGAGTCTGAATGCTCACAATCGTGTCAAATTTTAAAAGTCACAAATCTATTCCTCTGATTTTGAGATATGAAAATAAAGAGGTAAAAGTAATTTTTTTCTGTTGATTCAACTATAATGAAAGGAAATTCTTATGTTGTCTATTTCTTTTAATAAATATGTTTAAAAGTACTAAATATATGTACAGTTTTTTTTTAATTATTTTTATTGAAGAAATAAATGATTTGTGGTGTTTAGTTTTATGTTAAGAAATCTTTAAATGATGCAAAATTAATAATAAAACTGTGTGTTAAATTTATATTATTGACCTCTATTCTATGGTACATTACTCTGCATGTGCGTTATTGCGGGAATCTAATTGTTTCTAACATGTCCTACTGTGTGGCACGCTGAATGATATTGGTAGATTAGTTTGGCACACCAGAGCTAAAAGGTTGCAGACCCCTGAGTCTAGTAGCTGACATAAGGTTCCAACTACATTAATCCTTAGAATTACAAATGTGATCTTATAATTCGTATCTGTTAGGAATTTAATATAAAATAATTTGCTTGATCATTTTCAAAATATGAATGAATGCTTGAATATATTGTGTTAATATATTGCTACTATCTGGAAGGTTTAATTTTTAAGACAAATTTTTATTGGGCCTCATTTTTATAAATTATACCGCTTTTTATTCTATAATCATGTTTAGGTGAAAATTTACTTAAGAAATATTTTAGTTTTATAAATAACATATTAAAGCATGCAATACAAGCCCATATGCAAATAATTTTTTTCCCCTACACCAGTATTTCTTTTTATTTTTGAAGGGAGTCTCTCACAACACCTGAAATGGTAACTTTTTATACAAATTGTTAAAATGATGTCTGTAACTTGGGCAATGGAGACTTTCAGAATTCTTAATAGTAAATTATTTTATTTCTTAAAAATAAAGGTTTATCAAGAGAGAAAGATGAGCAATATTTTTCTTATATAACATACCAACAGTATTAGGGAAAAGGACCAAATGGCTGATTTTTTCTCTCTCCTTTAGTTCTCTTTTTAAAGTACACACCATTGCCCTACATAGTAATATGGTACATTCATCAAATAAATTTTTAAAAATAACCTATTTTGCCTGATCTAGGATATCATCCCATTGTGTTTGATATCCACTTATATATAAATTCTATTCTGTAGGTTTATTGGTAGAATTAAATTCTAAAGATATTTTGGAATAAAAATTTAATTGCTATTTTTTTTTTTTTAAAGCATGGAGAAAACATTTATTTTGACATCTTAATATTTTATATCAGCTTAGGCATAAATGTAATAAAAGATTTTTTTAAAAATTTTATGATGTATTTTTGGCTGTCTTATTTTTTGGAAGTATTAATTAAACTTGTGAACTTCTAGATCATAATTTAATACCATAAAAGAAAATTATGTAAAAGAATTATTGAAATAAATCAAA